TTCATTATTGGGAAAAGAAACTGCATTTTATTCAAATATAGAATAAAAATTATGAAAAATCTATATTTCAAATCGATAAAGTTTTTAATAAAAAAATGTACTCACAAAAATTTTTAACAATAAATAAAATATTTAAATTTTTTATATGAACAATGGCTGTAAAAATTATTTAAAAAACAAAAATTTTAGCATTTAATTGACACACACCCACATACACACATAGATACACAAACAAGCATTTTAAAGTTTCAACCAACAAAACAAAATATTTTAACTTATAAAATTTCTTTTGCTTGAATTTGCTGCTACTATTCAATAAAGATATAAAAATTATCATTAAGTGGTCTATATACAAATACATTATATATAATTTAAGAATGTAAATCTTCAAGATCTTTATCACATTATGAGAAAACATTAAAAATGAATTTTTATTTAATAATTTTTTCAATAATATCCTAATAAAATATATTTTATATTATCAAGTGCAGTTCCTTATTGCGACCATAGCTTTTACAAATCCCATTTAGTTACGAAAAATTATAATTCTGGTGCAGCATGGATACTTAAACTCTGTTAAAATATGTAGATTCATATTAAGTGTTGAATAAACTACTGTCGTAATGAGGTGCATTTTTTTTTTGTAAATATCCGTGATATTCGATATAATTTGTGTTTCTTAAATTTTTCCCTATTTTACTTAATAAAAAAGGATTAATATAATTAAATGCAAGACAATTTGGTAACCTAAAATTCATTTGTTCAAATATAACAAAAAGCGAAAAAGTTATTTCATGGTTGATTGAAAGAAGATTATCTTGAAGAACCTACGTTATATTATTAAAGATATATGCAACCCAATTAAACAAATTGGTATTAATATTAATTATCTGTATATTGATTGTCAATAATAATTTTTTCAATATTAAAATTATTATTAAAAATAAAAATGCTTACAATATTAAAAAATTTTAAATAACCAAAAACAATAGTTTTTAAACTATTTTGAACAAAATTTCAATTTGTATTAAAACAATTTAACAATTTCCAGGAAAAACAAAATTGCAGGAAAATATTTAAAAAGGAAAACATAATTAAAATCTTTATAATTAATAAGAAAAAAGCAAAAATAGAATACAATAGTAATGATGAAAATATGTTTAGAAAAATAAATGTTTAGAAATTTACCCTTCCCTTCTCCAATATATTGAAAGGATAAAAATTTATAAAAATATTCAAAATAAAATGAAACAAAAATGCTAACTATAAAATTTTAAAAAATTTACAATTGAGAAACTAAAAATTAAAAAAAAGAAACCAACTACGGTTTTCCTTCAACGAATTGTTCAAGTATAATTTTTAAAAACTCTATTTAATTTTCAAGGCAACTGTGAGGCAAGCTGAATTATAAAAGGATTTTGTAATTTTTAATATGGTGAATTCATTTTGAAAATTTTATGCTGAAATGTTGCGTTTTCTATTGAATGAAGGATTATTTAATTAAAAGTGCTATTATAGGCCTATATTATTTTAAATAGTTAAAATTTTTATTATTTTGTATTGATTACTTGAGCTACCAATCATACTTAGTTTACAAATTTTTCTTGAGCACTTCTTAAATCAATCCATAATCAATCACAATGTTTAAAAATTCTCATCCTTTATCAACATAATCAATCCTTTAAATTTTGATCTTAACCAGAAAAATATTGTGTGTGCCTCACAGTTTCTATATAATATTTAAACAAATTTATACATGTGTATATATATTTGTATATACCTGTAGTATTATTCTTGAACATCCTTCAAAAAAAAAAAAAATACTAAAAAAAACACGAACAAAGTATTGTGTGATATGTGATTGTCTTCTTAGAAATAAAAATAAAGTAAATTGAATTAAAAATAAAAATATTTACATAGAATAATGTTGATAAAAAAAAATAAAATTAATTAATTGTTGTACTGAAAGCTTTCATTTAATTCTATAAAAAACAAAAATTAGAAAGTTATTAAAACAAAAAAAAAATCGAAAACTGTTTTTAAATGAAAATTTTTTTTCTTTCTGTTAACTTTATTCTAGATTCTAAAAAAAAACTTTTGTTATCCTTTTAATAAATTCACAAACATTATTAAATTTATTACTGCATATAATAACAAAAAAAAAAAAAAAAACAAAATATAAAAAATAAAATTTTAACCAGCGTGCTATTTTCATTGTTTTATCCTCAATCAAAAATTTTAATTAAAAAAAAAAACAAAAAAATTAAATAAAGAAAAAACCAAAAATTTTGTAACAAAGAAAAAATATAAAATAAATAAAAAAGTATATTTACATAATAATACCGTTAATTGTATATTAAATTTAAATTCTTTAAAGAAAAAAAGAAAAAAAAATAACAAATCCAAAAATTGTTAATGTCGAACAGTTTTTCGATAACAGTATCTAAATAGAACACACTGATAAAGAAATATATAAAAAATAGGAAAAAATTAAAAAAAAAATAAAAATAATTAATAAAATTGGCAAAAAGAAAAATTAATAGATAACAAATGAAATTCACTTTATATAAAAAATATAAAGAACAAAAAAAAAAATAAATGTATGCAAACCCAATAAACAAAAAAAAAAAAAAATAATTTCAAAAAAAAAAATTTAAAATTGCTATAAAAAATTGTATGAATCCCCTAAATGGTGTGAAATAAAGAAAAAAATGAAAAATTTATTTAATGCGTTTCTTTTTCTAGTCCTTGTTATATTAATTGCTTATCCTATAAGGATACATGTGAATATAGAACAATGATTACCATCGAATATTGGGTATTTTGGAAAGTACAATTCCAAATAGATTCAAGGTAAGGTGTAGGCTGCTTATACTTTATTACTTTAGGCTGCTTATACATAACGTACACCATTTTTGGCAATTTATTTTTTGTGTGAAAAAAATGTATTCCAAAACTCACACCCATATTTTTTCACACTAACCATTTTTATGTGATACGTTATTATAACAATATGTATACATTACAGTTTTCAGAATATAATCAATTTCTATCACATTATGTGGTGCACTTTAGAAAATAAAAAGGATTATTCTACAACATAAAAAATCTAGAAAAATTGGTGCATATAATTTCTTAAGAAATTAAATAAGTACTCGTATATCTGTTGCAATACAAATTCTAAATCAAATTACATAAGTTCAATATTATACAAATTTTAAATTTGATTAATTAACATATAATAACAAGTAACCTACAAGCTTAATCTAATCCAAATAGCAGTATAGTATAGTAGATGTGAAAATAAATCGTAATGGAAAACAAATATGACTACTTACACTTAATAAAGAATTACCTTAATTTTTAAGTATTACAATCAAGATTCATCTTATAGACCGAATTTTGTTAAATTTAATATGATATAGGCATTAGTTAATTTGTCATTATATTAGTTTGTTAAAATATAGACAATCAAGTAATAAAATACGGAGACAATAGGTCACACATTTTTATTTTATTAGAACGAAAAATAAATAATTAAAAAATTTTACTACTTACATATTTCTCGTTTAACATATTTAAAATTCCTTTAAATGCCATGTATGTCAAATTATTATGAAGGTTATATGAATTATTAAAATTATAGAAAATGAATTATACAAAAACACAAATTTTTTTTATTATGCATTATTTATTTAAATTTGTTCTGCTTTATTTTTCATAAATGTTTTATATAATTTAATTCTGTTTTTATTTTTTACAATTCTTTATTAGCAATATAGATAGTAATCGTATGTGATTAATTCAATTCACTTTCATTATGTCTTTATAATTTTAACAATGGCTTATATTTAGAATAAAATTATTATTTTTTTTTTCTAATATCTTAAATAAAATTAAAAACAAAAATATTAATGATATACATATTAATATTTAAAATTAAAACCAAAAAAAAATAAAAAAGTGATTTAAATTATTTTATAAAATTTTATCTGTTTTTAAAATACAATAATATTTTTTCACTTTAATTTTTTTTTTAATTGTAAAATATTAATAATTTAAATTAATTAACATTATTATCATTTATATTATATTTTATATTGCAAATTTTATATTTATTACATAATAATTATATTAAACTAGCTTTATCAGTAATATTTTAATTTCTACAAAAAAATACTCATAATTAACGCATTTTTTCTCTCACACTCATATTGTTTTTTATCCTAAAATTAATTTACAAAACAAACGACAACACTATATAATTTTTAGTATCACATTCAACTTCTGAACAACAACGACATGAAAAGGAGGGCATCGTCTCGATCATTTTTTTATCGATCTATGTATATGTATATATATAAAAAAATTATTACGTAGGCACAAAATTATTAAATTTTACATTAAATAAAATAATATAAACATTAATATATATGTGTATATGCGTATGTGTATGTATATTTATTATAATATTAGTTAGTTTATTAATTATTGTTGGTTTGTTAAATATTTCTTATTGTTTCAAGCTTATTTTGTTTTTGGCTTATTAAAAAATTAATTCAAAAATTTACCATGTAGGTAAAAACTTCTGTAATATCTTTATCACCTCACTTTATATTGCGATTAATTAATTTTTGAATGGCTCTTTGCAAGTGAAACAATAAAAATTAACAAATTAATAATTAAATTTTCAGTCAGTAATATTAAAGAATATACATATAAAATAAACATATACACGCATATATATACATGCAATGGAATTTGCTTAAGTTTGAAATAGTGGTTTAATCTAGAAAATTTCAAAAGAAATGTAGCTTGTATAACAATTTCAAAAATCCTACAAATTTACTATTGATAATTTTTAATTTGTTAAAACACTATTCGATTTGAACCAGAAAAAAAAAATACTACATACAAATTTTATTCTCCAATTTCCTTTAATTCTAAATTGAATTGAATTTTTTTTTACAATCCTTAAGCAAATCCAAACTCTACATATTTTTAATATAAGAATAAAATTGTGTCTTTTTTTTTATTATCAAATCATTTAAAATATTTTTACGTTTTTTTTGTTATTTAATTATAAAATTTATTAAATTTGTAAATTAAACATAAAATGTTAAATAATTAAATTGAAATAGAACTTCCTTTTTAATGATGATATTAATAATAATTAATCGTAATAATAATTAGTATAAAACTTATACAATACAGTAGACTATAACTTTGTAAAAAAAAATATGAAAAGTACAACTAAAAATACAAAATTAAAATAAAATTCTAACTGGAGGAAGCTGGCGTCAGGTCACTTGTTGTATTATTATTACTATTATTACTATTATTATTGGAACGTGCACCACCTGGTACTACAACTACAACTGGAACTGTTACTAATGAATCATTTCTAATACCAGTTGTAATTGTAAGTGATGGCGGTGGTGGTGGTGGTGCTGCAGTTGATGTTTGTAATTGTGATGATGATTCAATTCCAGATGTTGTTGCTGCTTTTTGATTTGGAAATAATACTGAATATGCTGGTGGCGGATCTAATTCATCATAGTTTGGTGGTGTTATATTATTTTGATTACGTGATGGTTGTACATCTGTTGAATCTTGAATTGATGGACTACCAACAATTGTACTAGCAGTAATATGAGATTCATTTTTATTATTACGGCAACAACATTCTACAAATTAAAAATATTACATATTACATACAATATTTGTATACAAATTTATAATTTTTAATATTAAAAATTTACCCCATAATCCACATATTAATAATGCACCACCACATAAAAGCATTCCTAACATTAAATAACCCCATGGTCCATATTTTGATAAATCACCAGTTAATGTACTTTTTGATGAATTTTTTCTTGTTGTTGTTGTTGAAGTTGTTGTTACTGTAGATTTTTTATCCTTATCATTATCACTACTATTTGTATTAAATTCATTTTCACCGTTTTGATGAAATGGTCTATTTTCATTTAATATTAGAGGTCTACCATCATGATATTCTTTTTCTGTACCATCATCGTCAAATGTATCACCGAATTCAGATGATGGAGATGATGCTCCAGTTGAAAATGATGTTGAAATATCACCGAATGCATGATGCATCCATAACATTAACTGTTGCTCCCATTCATTGTCAAATATTACCGTTGATGATGGTAATATTGGTGTTGAATGTAATTTTTCACACATTTTTTTATCTTCGTCATCATCATATAAATTACCATTTGGGCAATGTCGTATATTATCACAGATTAAATCTTTTGATATGCAAAATAAGGGAGCGCCACTAAAAAATTTTATATATTTTTTGTAATATTAGTTTTTTTTATTTAAAAATAAAAGTGAATTTTATATAAATTTAAAGATTAAAAATTTACCCTAATGTTAAACAAGGAAATTTATTTAATTTATTGCATCCATCTCCTTTACCCAAAGCGGTTATCATTAATTTCGAATGTATTGAATTAAGATTATGCTCCCAATGAATTTTAATATGACCTTCAAAAAATTTTACTGGCCAATTTATTTCATTACCATTATTCGCTTCATCTCTTTCCATTTCACAAGGATCAATTTGCCAAAGCGCTTGTTGATAGTTGTAATCGTTATTGCTATACTGTAAAGAAAAATAATTTAAATAATATATTAGTAAACGATACAAATTTTTATTTAAAGAGTTAAAAAATTTCTCTGAAAAACTTATTTTGATCATAGTTAAAAGAAGAAGTAAGTGGTTTATAAGTTTTAATTCGTTTCTGACTTTGCTTTAGCATGTTAAAAATTTGTTAGTAATATGTTTAAAAAGTAAGAAAGAAATTTTAATAAAATATGTTCTTAATTTTTTTCCATCTCATCGAAAAATGTAATATCAATATTCGTTCATTCACAAGTGATTTCCAAAAGCTAGAACTTTTCTATAAAATCACGTACTTTGCAAGTCACTTACAACTACAAATGAATACATTTCATTCATAAAACGGCATTAATATTAAATTGAGTTCAAGAGCATTTTAGAATTTTAAAGCACAACAAGATGAGCGTTAAGTTTATTTTTTGTAATTAAATATTCCAAAATATTTTGACAAAAAGCTCGCAGAGTAAATATGTTACACAAGAAGCAAATTTTTGTTTTTTTTCCGGCATGAAAATGTACAGTATTTATTACACGTTATAATAACAAGTTGCCATAAAACAGTTCCATAATATTAATTATACATAAATTGTCTACGTTTTCATATTTACTTAAATTTCACAGACTGTATTTCGTTTGTTTTTACCTAGATAGGTAAATAATTACTTTTAAAGTACGTATACATACACAAACGTAAGAAGGTAAATATACATGAGTACACTTTTGGAATTATTTACCATAATATACAAACAACAGTTTTAATAGTAAATTCAGTAAATTGAAAACTGAAACCATTTTCCAAGTAGTGAACTATGAAATTAAATAAAAATGTATGTATGTATGGTTGTATACGCATTTTGAACAAATATTTAATATTCAACAATTTTTTTTAGTAAATATTTTTTAATTTTTCATGCTTTAAATTTTGAAAGAAGAAAACAAGCTTAATTGTTTGTTTCAAATTGAAAAACATAAACGATCGCTATTATAGCAATCGGTCAAATTTTGTGTGCAAGAAAATTTAAATGAGGTCAAATAGAAGTAAGATAAAAATTCTTGTGTATTTGTTTTCAAAAAAATTTTTTTTACTAATTTTATGGTGCGTACTTGCACAGTCTACAAACATAATTATTACTTTTATCACTCTTTAAAAAGTAATTGTTGTTTAACATCAATTGATATTGAAACAACGGCGTTCTTTTAAATTTAAGAATAATGAAAATTTGTTTTTTTTATTGGTTTTTTAATACCAGAGAAATTATATAATAAACTGAACAATTATGAATATGTATAAGTGATATTATTTCCATATGTATATTAATATGCCCTTTCTGATGATAAAATAAAACAAGTAGAAACGTTTCAGTCGGTATAAACCGATTGAATTATACCCTGCACCTTTCATTGTTGTATAAAGCAATTTCTTGAATCTGTGAAACTATTTTATAGAAGCTTCACGAATATGTCTGAAGCTGATACCTTTATTAGTTTTTGAAATATTTAAAATAAATTCGTTGAGTTCGTTCTTGGCACAAAAGACACAACTCGAGAAAGTTTGGTGTCGATTCCATTATTCGTTTTCAAGTAATTGTGCGATCGGAAGAACGGAAGGACATGTCTAAATCAGTCAGAATTTTACGCTGAGCAAGAATATTATATATATGTCCATACCGCAGATGACTCCTTCAAGTAGTTACAAACTCCATACTAAAGTTAATATGCCCTTCACGAAGTTGCAGGCTATAAAAATGCAATAAACATAAAATGGAGAATATACTTACAGGAAAAATTCTCAAATAAATTATGTGGACAATATTATTCATTATATACAGGGATTTTATTCCGAATTTCGAACTGGTTGGTTAAATTTCCAAAATGGGTGTCAAATCTCAATAGTTTCTGAAACACAAGGATTTTAAGAAAATTTCCTCATGTCGCTCAAGTTTTTGTTCTTATATCTTCTTTCCAAAAGAGATGAATGCCTTAAACAAACAACTTTTAGAGCTAAAAATGATATATCAAAAATATTTGCTTATTTACACGTTCTTTCGCATGATAACACATAAGCATTATTGAGTTTTAGATTTTAAATAAATGTAATATTAAGTGCTAGACTTAAGTATATTTCAAAGAAATTTTTAATAAATTTTTGTCGCACATTCCGAGATTGTTAATTTTGACAAAAACACCCTTACAGAGATACGAGTATTTGTCTAAATATTTTTAATTTTATTATTAAATGAAAATTTTCAATTACATATTCATGTACATACATATTTGTGGATTTATATACAATGTGTACACCAAATTATTTCATTAAAGAAGAAAGGCTGCAATTAATAAACAAATTTTTGTCAAAATTTGTTTGAGAATGTGCTGAAAATTTATTGGAAATGTTGGGAAACTTTTTTTTTTAAATTTGTGAAAAATAAGGTTTTTTTGAGAATATAATCTGGTTGTTGTACACAAAGGCATTGCAAATTGCCCGTATTATTAAAAAAAAAACCGATAATTATTTTCTTTACTCATTGAAATTTTTAACCTCCAGCCAATTAATGACAAAAAACAAAACCATTATTACCATTAACGCATCACTTAAAACACATCTGGTAAAATTTACAGTAGACACTTAATTAGATTTGAATAAATCTCGCTTTTATTTTTATATAATATGTATTTGCTTTTTTATTTTATTTAAGTGCAATTTGAACGCGTAATAAAATCAAAATAATTTTCATTATTATTCAAGAAACGATATTGAATTAATTACCGATTTATTTTATTTTTTATTTTATAATAATAAAATACGAAAATTTTATGATTTAATTCAAAACGGTTAACATTATTACACACACATATTTACAAATGTATATTGGGTTTAAAATCAACAACATGTTGGTTTTCTTTTTTGCGCTTTTTACGTTCAATGACCTAAAAGCAGCAAGAATACACAAATAAATCAAATTATTACAAATTATTTTTCTTTTTTATTTATTTATTGGCATTAATAATCAAAAATATTTTATAAAAGAATTTAAATTCAAAATTTTGATTAACAATATAAAGTTTGAATTCTGTTTACAGTTTGAAAACAGTGAGGAATATGAATAAAGATTCGCTTCAATAGATACTAAAAATTACAAAATATAGAAGAAAATTAAAATTCTTTTTTACACCTGCTCAATAACCATTTCAAAGAACTGCATATTGGGAAAAATTTTCTTTACAATTTAATCGTCCCTTGAAAATTTTCGATCACGGGTTTTTAGTTGTTAACTGGTCAAGAACAAATTTATATTAAACAGAATCTGCAGTTTACATTTGATTAATTTTATTTTAATGTGATGTAGAAGACGAAAACAATAATATTAAATTCTCCTAGGTATGCTTATTGATCTTATAGACGCTCAACATTAGAAAATTATAATCCTACGAAGAATTCCACTCGCAGATTCCTACGAATTATGAACTTAGCTACGATGTAGGCTTTTGATTGATAACAAATTCTTTCGTAGAGATTAGAGATTATGAATCAACAATGGTAACAGCTTTTTTCGGAGTGTCGAAATCAGTATTTTATTTCAAATAAGTTTAAATGTTGCAAAAGTGAAAAAAATTTTGTTTGAAAAAATAAAAATTCATTTGCCTTCATATTTAGCCTTAGAGAAAGAAAACAGAAAATTTTTAACTTCAGAGAAAAACGCAAAACTACTATTCTCTTTGAATTTCTTTGAACGTAATTTATGCTTAGTCTATTACGAATATTTTGATCAGAATTTTAGTAATTCGGAATTGATAACATTACATTCGTATAATTTTCCGAGTTTCAGGGCTACGAACGAAATTCATGATAGGGCTGAATATGTTCACTTCCGTAAACATAATCGTAAATGATTCAGAATATTCGGTACTTATTATCTTACATTTATTAAACTATATTTAGCTGAAAGCTAGACTAGTAATTCGAAGTAGATATCAAAAATTCAAAATAATTTCTTTAGCACAATATAAAGCTTTCGATCTTTATATAATTAAATTGATAAAATTAATTTTATAATAAAAATAAAATCTTAGATCTTTCATATTTCTATATCACTTAGATCTTTCATATCATTTACCCCAGCTTTAATAATAGAAAATAATTCTACAATGAAAATTATAGTTAACAACAATTTTAAATGTTACATAAAACTCAAATATAAACCATTAAAATAATAATGGCTACATCCCTTGTTAATGACTAAATAAAAATTGTTTTTATTTAGTTCAGGGTTAACAAAAAAAGTGACTTCGTCCTAAATAAAAAAAATTTACCTAAACTTATTTCACTGTAAACAAACACGAAATCTTCTCTATAGACGATAATATTAAAACTGCAACATTTTTTTATAATCTTAAACATAATTTTAATATTTCCAAAAGTAATCCATCACTAAATCTCGAAAACAAAGTAAATCTTTTTGAAAATATTAGATCACATCTTAAATTAGATATTCAGTTTTAATAAATTTGCTTAATTCAAATGGAATTCCATAATTTCATACTTTATATTTAAATCCAAAAAGAGCTACAAAACTGTCGGAGTTATTTAAATTCATGAATTAATTTGAAACGTGGCAAATAATTCGTGATTTAAATTTAAAAGAAAAAATATTGTACAATTTTGTTATTTTGACGTTTGAAAACATTGCAAAGTCTTAGAGTACTACCATACATAAACAAATTATCTACAGAATGAGATCGACATTGAAATTTAAATTATGTGAATGAAATTTTAACAAAACTTATAGATGCTTATATAATCATATTATGATTTTTTAGATTTTAATTTCTTTTCTAAATATTTTTTTAATAAAATGCCTAAGTTTTACTGAAGTGTTTAGTAACTAAAAATCAAATAATTTTTACACAAATTTTAAAAGTAAAATTGAAATGAATTGAATGAAAGGTTTTTTAACCTAATCAGATATTAATTTCAGAACTCTATCAACTTCGGAAGCGTGTATAATACATATAATGTTGCAGGTTTTCACATTCAGAAATGTGAGCAAGATGTTCAGTGTTAGTAATGTTTTAACACTAAAATAAATGGAAAATTCGACATTTTTTTCAAACTACGTATTAAAAAATTAAATACACCTTTTTAGAGGAGCCAACAATAAAATCCAATATATTCCTAAAACCAACTTTCCAAGCTTTTGCTTAAATTGTGTTTATTGATAATATTCATTGTGTTTCGCCCTAACCTTTAAAAATTTATTAGAAGGAAATAAGTTCTTGTAAACATAAAAGGACGATCTAAAAATTCGCCTAAACTCTTTGAAATTAAATAATTAGGCTGAAATGTATTTAAATTACATAAAATGCTGAAGTAATTTCTATAATTTCAAGAGAAAGAAATAAATCTGTCGTCTACATTTAACAAAATGTTATAGATGGTATTTTAATCTATAAGAAATTGAACTTTGCGTTATGCGTACAAATTTCTGCTAATTAAATTAAAATTTTTAAAATTTTTTTAATTTTCTGTTATTTTTTTATTCAGAATCAAATTGATTCTTAAAACTTATTCGAAAATATAAAGAGTCAAGGAACAAAAGAAGAAAACAAATCCTAAAAAAAGAAGACAAGAATAGAATGAAATCCGTACAAGAGAACAAAGCAAATTTTATTCAAATTTATAAATTTGGCAGTGGAATTTTTAATATTCGTATTTTTACAACAAAAAAATAACAAAACTAAATATTTAATAGCACTAGAATTTAAAATTTTAGTCACGTTGATTTTAATTTAATTTTTTTTTGTTTTCATTATTATAATTTTTTTTTTGTTCACTTTATTTTTGTAATATTCAAACTTTTTATTTTATAATTGATTGGGTGACGTTTAAATTTTTAATGTGTCGCGTGTATGTCGTGCGCGTATTTACACACAAAAATGACAGATAATGATAAATCATGAATTAAATTTAAAATATTTACGAAAAATTTACAAATTTTTAAAACAAGAATAATGTGGGTGTGTGTATATGTAGAAATTGTGTAAATGGGAAAGTAAAATGATTGTTAAATATACCTACTTTAGTTAAACCAATAATTTTTGGAATGTAATTATATACGAATTATTTTGTTTCAGTAAAGAAGAACATGTGTCACACTAATGGGATGATATTATAATATTGTTTTTACATTTAGAATGAGGGTGGAAAATGAATGTAACATTTCGCATAAATGCCGTATATCGCGATATATAACGGAAACTGCGCTATGCGTATGCTCATAAATAAATGAAATAGCGAATTTAGCATATGAAGAACGCGGTTAAATCAAATATTATCATAATCATAAATAAGTTACATCTTGAATAAAATGTTACAAATTACAACTAATTACTTACAATAATTTCGTAAAATTTTGAAACCCTAATGTCAAATTGTTCTTGGTAATTAAACATATCTTACTCGTATGATAGATTTAATAATCAAGAAGCGGGATAAACAACAGAGCAGATTTCTTTTAATACAGGAAATTAACAGATGTTTTAAAAAAAACTCTTCTCTCTTCATGTTCATAACCTATTCTATTTTCAATTTTTAGGAAACTTCTTTACTCATGATTCAAAGTTATATAATAATGAAGAAAAAGTATGCAAAGAATAGAAGCATAAATAGCGAAAACAAGTTCAATGTTTATTCAAAAAGAATGCAATTAATGTTTTAAGTTTTTAGGTCTACATCATTTTTTTTCTGTTATAAATTAGCAAAACTCTCATTTTAAATCTAATTTTTAAATTTAAATTGATTCTGAATAAATCGAAAACAAGAGAAAGTTTATAAAAGTCAAAATTCAAATACCTTAAAGTTGGTAGTCTTAAACAATATAATTACTTTCTTAACAGTTTTAAAATTAAATTACCGGCATGTAAAACAGACTATTAATACCATGATTTTGTGGTAAAACTGAAGCTGATGTAATCGAAAATATTCATTTTGTATTCAGATTTTCTGTTTTATTTCATTATTATTGTTTTGAGTTTCAGTTAATTGCATTTTAAATGATAAAATAAATAATAATGTCTACCAAAAATTTTCAACAAGTCTCCCATTGTTTCATATATTTTGAAAATCGGAATTTTTTAAATTAAAAAAAGAAAATTAAACAATTAAGTTCTTAATTAGAGGGTTATTACAACATTTTATTGTTTTATGATTTTTCAAATTCAAACCTGTAATTGTATAATATTCCTAAATGTATTATTAAATTTTGATTAGTTATAGTACCTAATATACCATTATTATACTGTCATTGTATAATTTGGGAAAATTTACTTTCACAAATGTTTAATGTTTTAGCAGTCATGTAACTTTATAAATCTAATATCTAAATGTGAGAAAATAAATTCATTTGATTTGAAATTTGCGAAATTAAATTTTTCATACATACATATGTAGCTATTTCTGTTTCAATTTAACATAAATATTATTAAGAATCTATTTTAAATTGGCTAACATTCCGCACACAAAAATTCAGTAAAGCATGTGCGTGGATGAAAAAGACATTGCTCATCAAATGAATCATATTTTATTTGAAGCCATCCAAAAATAATGTATTTATGGGGGATTTCAGACAATAATATTGTTTTAATGAACAACTTATTATAGGCAACAGCAAAACATTCTTTCGTGATCGTTCATAATTCAATTAAAAAAACGTGGTGTGGCCGAGGACACGATTTCCACCTATAATTCGTTGTAATAAAATATATTTTTTTTATTGATGTGATAAATCGACGAAACAAGAAGTAGAAAAACGGCTGTTTGTCAAAATGAGGCATGATTCTTTCTTTTTCGCATTTTGAATTTTTAACTTAGCCCGAAATCATAGAAAATTCCACCAAATTGCAAAATTACTCACAATTCATAATTATATTATGACAATTTTTATTTGTCTTTTAAGGTATTATAACTCATCTCACTTTTCACCCATCAAATTTCATTATAGGTTTATTTAGTTAACCATTTAGAGCTGACAGGTATAGTATGTGACATATCATTGAGAAAGTATTTCCAAGGTATTTGATATATGGTGACTCATATTGTATGTCCATATACCAAATACCATAACATTGCTGCTTTATACCTGTGTCTACTAATGCGGAGGTATACAATAGTATGAAGCAGCGCACTTTGGTACGAGACACCCTGTTTATTAGTGCTTTACTAAAATTTTATGTATGTATGCATGCATTGCTTTACTGTACTATAACTGCCAACTCTCTCTAACAAATTTTTGTGCGACTAATTTGTTGTTATTTAACTCTTACCATATACCTTAAACTAAATTTAGATTTGCTTTTCATTGTTGAAAATTCGAAATAACAACAATAATATTAAAAATATTTATTTACCTCACTATATTTTTAATTTTTAACTAAACGAAAATATTAAATGCGATTTCATTTAATTTTCCATAAACATTGAAAATGAAAGTTCCTTAAAAACAAAATTTTTTAGTTATCTTATCATGAATTAAATTTACTCCATAAATACCTACTGCTGAATTGAAATCAACACTGTTTATGATAAGCGTATAATTTGTTATTCGTCTTTCAAGTATAGAGGATGCAAAATTACAATTTAAAATTTCAGATTTCTAGAAAGTGTAAGTGAAGTGAATTAATTTAAAATTTTATAGCAAAGCATAATCACATCACACTTTATTGCTAACAAGGTATATTGTGTAACTTTTTTGTTGAAATACTCGATTAGATTTTCTATACTAATTCAAGTTGTCAAATTCGTATACAATCAAAAATATTTCAAATTAATTATACTATATAATCAAAGTTATTAACTAAAATTGTTCTTCGCTGAGTAACGAGACTACAATGGGAGAAAATTCGAAAATTAATTTAAACTCAATGTAAAAATGTGTATGAAAGTACATATGTATGTAAAAATATTTTATAAAGGAGAAATAATTATTAATTTATTTTCTTATATTCAATACACAAAAAAAAAACAAAAAAACTTAAGAAAGAGCAATAATTTCAAAGGTTAATGAAACCATCCATTGTCAATGTAATGAACGGTGTGCGTTATCAATGTTCGAAATCAAAAGAATTTCGAATTTTTTTTCGATACGCTCTAAATCGTAGATTCATTAGTAATCAAAATTATTACCACCTTTTGTCATAACTATAGCTTTTGTCATAATATAAAAGTAATAAAATTTTATAATCAGAAAAATAAGGAAATCCCAGTAAATGTTGTAAGCATTTTCGTGAGCTGTAAATTTCTTTTACAACACAAAAATTTTCTCTTTATTATCAGACATGTCTAGGATTATTGCAAAATTTAATACATATGCATGTTAAAATAGTTTGTTAATATTTTATTTAATAATAAAAAACAGACCATGAAAAATTTTTGTATAGAGAGGGATCAATTTTTTGACATTGCAGTATTTTAAACTTGTACAAGAATATCAAATCATGGGAATTATTAAATATTGGGAATATAAATAGGAATTATTATTCAATTTAAGCACTTTTATCTAATAAAAGTAATTTCTTTCATAAAAGACTGAGTTAGATTAATTTTAATGCACACATTGTTAAAAAACAATTCGAAATCGCGAAAAAAATTATAATTATAAAAAAAATACTTACAATGGTTAAAGGACAACTTTTCGTTGTATTAAATTGATTTTTATTTTGATGAGTACTACTACTTAATCCATGATATCTATTTAGAGTATGTTGATCACCAGCAGTATTTTTAAATGTCATTGATTTACTACCATGATTTCGTTGACTATTTATTATTATATCGCTATTAATATTACTAGTGCTGCCACTATTACCGTTATTACCGGTAATGCTACTACTGCTGCTGCTGCTACTACTGCTAACACTATAAAATTTATTTTTAGCTATTATCAGTCGTATTATAAATCCATGAGATTCTGATGTTGTAAAATTTCTTTCACAAAATTTTTTTCTCATCATTGAACTTGATCGTAATTCTAAAAAGAAACTTGATTGTCTACCATCACTTTCTACAAAACGTTCATTATTTGTTTCATTATAACATAATGACTCGAAATATTGATTAGATGATGAAACTACACCTAAAATTAAAAAACAAAAAAATAAAAAATTAATAAAAATTAATTCAAAATTATAAGCTTTAATTCTTTTAATAATATTTTAATTAAATTCTAAATATATTCTAGAAGATGACTAGACAATTTAGAAAGCGAGCTTAATATAAAATATCATAATTATCAAATTCTAACATTTATAGCATTACCAAACTATGACAAAGCTTAATTTACGATTTTAATGTATTTTGTTTTAGATTGTCATTAGCAGATTACAAACATAGTAGAATAAAATCTTATAAAAGCTATAAACTTTCAAGATCCATATAACTATCTAAGTTTCTAGTTACGAAAGTCTATAAGTATTTCTTGAAAATTTATATTGAAAAATAATTGATTACCACATAAAATTAAAAAGTAGAAATAGTTAAACCCTTAACAATTATTCTTACAGATTTAGTTTCTCCCATTAAAATAAAATTGGAACCAATTTTTCATACATACGAAAATACATATGTATACGAGTATTATGTTAACTCATTTACTTAACCATTAATCTCTATTCATCCTAAATGTAGGCAATTAGTTAATAGAGAAATATATAGGTAATAAAAGAATTTAATAAATGTAATGGGATATTTTTAAGAGCAGCTGTTTCACTTGTTCAATTGAAAAGTGCTACTTTACGAACCATAGGCTGGATTCAACTTCATTAATAATATAAGTAACATAAGAATATGTACGAGTAAACGAGAAAAATTTAAAAAAAAGAAGCCTAAAATCGTGAATTTTCTATGTAATGTAAGTATGGTCTGACTAAATAATAAAGTCTTAATATCTTTAACAAAATCAAAGAATCCAAAAACATTGTAATGAGCCTATTGTTCTACATACATGAGCAAATACCTAAATATCTAAATATTCAATCATAAAATGTGGTACAATATACTTAAACTATATTTAGATTTATATATATATGAATAAGAGTGTAATTTTTTGTTAAAATGTAAGCATACCAATTTTCTCATACATACATAATATATATAATTATACATATATATTTACCACAGATACATTGACACATTAATATAGTTTTATTCTTTGAAATTTTATTTTATGCCTAAAAATTACATTTCATTAAATTAACTTAATCAGAGAGTTAATAACCCATATTATTATTTGTTCATTAGTTTAATACTAACCCATATTACAATATATCTGATTTACATGCATACATAATATGTATATAAATTCCTTTATATATACATATGTACATATGCAATCTATGTTTTGTATTACATTATAAGGAAAAATTTCAATGATAAAATTGCTGGAAGTGTTAATGTTTCCCCGTTGAAATATAATAAATTCTTGTAATGCTTGCCTATTATATAAAATTATGTGAAAATTATTTCGGCACTATTTTAAAATAAAATGAGTACGTGCGTATATTCAGTTTCATACAGAATAATTTTGATATTAAATTTCATGCATGTATAGTGCTACACATATATAAGTAGTAGGAACAGAAATTTAATAAAATACAATTATGTATTTATTTTTATATATTATTAATCTTCGCCTCTACATGCATAATAAAAACATGTTGTACAATATTATGTAAAACATTGACATTTTTATCGCGTATATGATAATTAATTGAATGAAAATTTAATATAATTTTCATCCTTATATATTTAACTATTAATTATTATTATATAATAAAAGTTATTCAATGAGCTATATAGCAATATGTGAATTAAAATGTACAACTCTAATAAAATGAGTTAGGGGAGATAAGAAGTAATGCATATTATTATACGATTACCAACACTAGTAGTTATTCCGGGGTAATTGAAAGTAGGTTGTACGTTGGGCACTACTTTGTATAAGAATCTTCTATATTTCGTAATGTTGTATTATATCCCAAGTTTTTTACGTTTAGGTTTAGAGAATGTTTGGTGCTCTTAACTGAAACGCTATAAATCTAAATTTGCATATAAGGACAACGTATAATGAAAAAGAATATTGAAAATAAGGGATTTGTAATTAATATTTCAGCCCTATATATAATTAAAAACTAAAATTAAGTTTAAAATTCGCATACACTAAATCAATAGAAAAAAATTATTTGGTAGTCCTTTCCCAAAAAAATATATATTTGAACATACATTAGATTGCTTGTTCTTCTACACAAAAACTTATATAACTTTTTTTCTCAAAATTGAGCCTTGCACACATTTAGTACATATAGTACATTTCTAATTAAGTTTAACTCATGGAGCTTCAATATTTTTTAAGACAAATTTTTTTTTATTATTAAAGGTACATTGATAATATGGCGCAGCTATTAAAAAAGCTCAAAAAATTTTAGTATTTTACTTGAAACTTGTAATTTTAAATTTACATTGCAAATACGGCGACAAAATTTAAATGAGTTTTTATTAATCATTGTCACATCTCCAAGATTTCAGCACAGCAGTTTAAGTAATTTTTGACGAACAACTGCTGACCACGTGCACAAATTAATTAAAAATGTATGAAAAACTAAAATTCTTCCATTAACTAAAATGAGCAATTGTTGACAAAAATTTATTAATTTTAACTATATCAGCTTTTGTCTTATCACTGCAATGATGAAAATAACATGTGTTAAATCAATTCAGAATTCAATAATACATACACTCATCCACCATTATTTTCCTACTGTTACAAACTGGTTGTAAGTTTGTTTTACCTTCTGAACATATCTCATAAGGGTATAGAACAATTACATATAAAAAGTATTTGGATTTGTAAATTAAATAGTCTCATGTTCTTCAGAATTTCAATATAATTATATACTTTCATATAGACTTACAAAACATAAATCATTGCTTAATACAGAATTAACATGGTTCTATGACAATGTACTTATATAATTCTATGCAACAATTATATAAGTATACGAACAAAAAAAAACACAATGTAATCTGCAGAAGGTCTTCTATATATTCGCTTTGTTTTTTTTAAAGGTTATATTTTCTAAAATGAAAACTATAACATTATTAGAAACTTAATGGAATGAATAAAATATCAAAAATTTATCAATTAAACTCAAAGCAATCAATCTCTCTACTCCCTCTTCTATTCAGTTCGCAATTATTACTATTCCATATTTCATAAAATATTTTCTGATGATTTATAAACCATAAAAGTATACAAAAAACCTTAAATAAAAAAAATTAACTGATTTTAGATTACAAAAATTAATAAAAAAAAATTTTTTGTTTATTGCATTATTAACAGAAAATTTTGAATTGCCTAAAAACTCCTAAAATGTATTTTCAGAACATTGTGTGTAAATGTAATTGCAAAAGAGAAACAATAAAATCAGTAAGGTCAAATCTAACCAAAAAAAAAAAAAACATAAAAAAAAACATTTTGGTTAATCTTCGAATTCAACTATTAATAATAATTTTTCAAATCAAAAATAAATTAATTTCAATAGACGCGCCACAGTCGCACAGCATAATACGAGTAGCAACTTACATTTTTATTTAACCGAGTAATAATTACATTCATTTTAATTAATAAACCATTTTAAAAAATTTATACAATTGATTTTCATAAATGTTAACCCATGTCATGATCGTTATTACTTATCGTATGAAAATAATAAAGAATATTTGATTTATTAAAATTTTAAACTAAAATTAAATTCTTTATTAGAAATTTTCTACATTAAATGCAAAATTAACCTTTTCAATTAATCTTTTTGACAAGTTTTTCTTAAATAATTACTCACATTCATTTACTTGTACCTACATAAACATAAAAAAAATACTATAATAAAGTTGGGTCAAACCAATGGTTTGTAAGGAAGCACTTTTCCCTTTTCCTAGTGAAAATACTGATTATGAAAGCTATCTGCTTTCACAATCTTATTTTAATTAGTTTTATCATATTTATTAGCTTATTTTAATTAGTTTTATCTTATTTTAGCTTATTTTAAATACGTCTACAGAAATATGTTTCTAGTAAAGACCAATTCGAGAATATAATTTCGGCTTTTTATCTTCAAGAGTGTAGAAGTTTTGTAAGCAGCCAAACGGACAAACGAACGGGCGGACGAATAAGCACTTTTTTCAAGATTTTTTTGGAAAATGCTATAAAGGTATAAATAAAATATTTTGTACTACTTATATGAAAAAATTAATTAAAAAAATTAATTTTAAATTAAAAAAGCCAAAATTATGAATAAAATAAACAGAGTAATTTTTTTTCATTTTTGCTCTCTTATCTTTCAATATTTTCTAAATAAAATTTATTGTTAAGACAATAACCTTTTAAGGAGATGATTGTGTCAACATTTTAAACAAAAGCGCAAAAAAGTATACACTTTATTATTTTTAAATTTGACTTTATTCGTGACCTTATATTAAATTTATTTTTGTATTCATAATTATTAATTATATATGAAAATATTGCAATGTTTTTTGAAAATTTTGAAATAAAAAAGTAATAATAATATTAAAAGTGAAATAAAATTGAAAGTTAAAACAAAAAAAAAATAAGAGTAAAATTCCATAATTGTAATAAATATGAAATTATATGGGCTTAATTATTATAAGTGAATTGGAGTTCGATTACAATTTAGTACAGAATTGATAACACACCAATATTGAGGTCTTATTTTGAGAAATTTTAATAATATGTTTTTTGTAAATATTTTAAAAACTTTATGTAAGAACACAAATTATTTGTATGATTCTTTCTATTTGTAATAACAATATCAAACTTTTTGAGATATATTGTAGATTACAGAATTGAGCGATGTTGCACTATGACCTAAAAGATCTATTGTGGCCACACCACGAGCTGTGAAACTCAGTGTCGCACCGCTGTTACTTTTTAAGATAAATACCACTATTGTTTAGTATTAGCATGACTCACTTCCCAGAAAAAACCGTATTGTATAGCAAAGGGGTTCTTTAACTGATAATTTTGTTCTATTATTTTCTATATTTTTGAGGTGCTATAATTAA